CCCGGCTTTTACAGCCCCTTGCTGTCGCCAGGGCCAGCAGCCGGCTCCTGGGGCACAGCACCTGCCCCGTGCCCCAGGGCAGCCGGCAGCCGGCTGAATGCCGCACCCCGCGGCCCAGGAGGGAATGGGGCCGTGCAGTGCCTGGCACTGGGAGCGGGGCCCGCGCTCTGGGCTCACCGGCAAACTCTGTGTAGGCCCGCTCATGGAGGAAGGTGCCGCAACCGAAGTCGATGAGCTTCAGCTCACCAGTCTCCGGGTTCACGAGGAGGTTCTCTGGCTTGATGTGCAGGCCGCCGCAGGCGGGGCAGTGCCATACGGCCTCCAGCACCTGCCAGAAAAGCCAGCGAGCCGCCTCCTCGCTCAGGAACTCTTGCTCCACCAGGACGCGCAAGAGATCCCGAGACTGCTCCGGACGCTCCAGAACCAGAACGAAGCTGTCGGGAAGCTCGAACCAGTCCAGGAGCTGGATGATTCTCTGGCAGCCGAAGCCCACCTTCTTCATGAGCACCATCTCCAGTGGAACACAGGTGCCGTTGGGCTGTGAGGAGACAATGCCTCCATCACAGAGCCCGATGCTGCCCTGCGGCTGCAATTCCCCTGCCCGGGATGCCCCAGTGCCGCCTTGGGCAGCCTCCCTGCTGCTTGGGACTCCTCCCACCCGGGGGGTGACTGGGAGGTGCCCCTGCCTGGACCCACCGCCGCTGTGTGGCATCCCCGGGCCCGCGATGCTCGGCCTCGCTCGCTGAGCCCACGCCCGCTGCCCCCGGCCGTGCCCCGCCCTCGGCCCCGGCCTTATCCCTGCTTGCCACGGCCCCGCTCACTCACCAGCTCGTCCCACTGCAGGACCGTGTCCCGGGCCACGCGCTTGATGGCCACCTGCAAGCCGTGGAGAGAGGGGGGCTGAGCTCAAGCCTTGCCCCGCGCCGCCCCCGGCCCTCCCGCCGCGCCCGGCCGTCCCGGCCACTTACCGGGCTCCCGTCGGAGAGTCGGGTTCCCGAGAAAACGGTGCCGAAGCCACCGCTCCCCAGCTAGCTGCGGGCCCAGCTGGTACAGCTCCCACAGCTCTTTCTTGTGCCCTGCGGCCAAGACCGAGCCGTCAGCCTCGCGCCCAGGAACCAACCCCCCGAGTGCCCGCCAGTGCAGCGGCCCCAGCCAGCACCGGCCACCTTGCTCTCACCTGCTTCCTCCTGCGCGCCGGGCAGCGGCCACAGCCTTTCCGCCGTCGGGCTGGCGAGCGGCACAGCTGGGCCAGGACAGGGCGCACAGGCGGCTGCAGGAGCCTGAGTGGAGCGGGGCAGGGCGGCACCGTCTCTGTCCCCACCGTCCTGGGCTGGACTCTGCTCGTGTGGACGGCCGGGGCTACAGCCCGAGGCTTCACGCAAGGGGGTCCCAGGAGCAGCTGCAAAGCAGAGAGGGCTTGTTTGAAGCCGTGGCATCAGGGGCTTCTGAAAACAGCCAGCGACAAGGCTGCTCTCAGAAGCCCTGGCCTGACCTGGCCTGGCCTGGGAATGGCCCTCAAGAGCCCCATGGGAGCCTCAGACAGCTCCTTAGATCTCACCTGCTTGTTCGGAAGCCTTACTGGTTGTTGGTGGCTGTATGGGAGCAGCTTCCTGGAGATGGAGGAAACTCCCTGGTCTCTGGGGAATTGCCTCCTCAACCAGGCCCGGGCTGTTGCCAGCTGGCACGTCCAGCACCGTGACCTGGGAGCTGTGGTCCAGCAGCTGCTGGCTCCAGGACACTTGCTGCTCCTCCAGCTGCTCCTGGTATGGCTCCCCTGGATCGGGCTGGGCTCCCACTTGGACCTGTGGGCTTTCCCTGGCCATGTCAGTGGTCAGGGATGCGCCCGTGTTGTCAAGGTCCAAGGGTCCATGGGAGCTGGGAGACCTGTCCCTGGGCTCTGCAACTTCTGCAGGCTGACAGGTCAAGCGGAGCCTCTCTGAGAGATGGAGGCTGTCAGAGGTAGCAGAGGCTCCTGGCACGATGGACATCCTCTGACAGCCTGAACCTCTTGCATGGATGGCGGGTCTTCTCATCCTTGCAAGGGTTGAGGCTCTCCCACCGATGGCCAAACTTGGTGGGAGCAGCCTCCTGATGGGATGGCGGCTTCTGGAGAAGCTGGGCGAGCCACAGCAGGGCAGGTGGCTTCGCTTCATCAGCTTCTCCAGTTGTGTCCATAGTGCCTGCCACATCCCAAAGTAGAGCGGCACAGGTGTCCCATTGTGTGCCCAGATCTGGGTCATAACTTCCTGCAGCTCTTTGGCCACTGCCATGCAGGGACCGCAGCTGCAGGAGCTCTCCAGAGGGCACGCGGGAGCACCTGGCCGCCTGCGAGTAGTTGCCCGAGGCCTGGAGAACCCGGGAGCCGCAGGGGCTGCCCGGTTCCTCCATGGGCCTCTGGGCCTAAACCTACGTCGCTTCTTTGCCTGCTGCCTCCACGGCTGCCAGTGGCCAACGGCCCACCAGACAGCCACAATGGCCAGCAGCAGGACAAGTGCAGCCATTAGGACGCCACCGTCACCCATGGCTACGGCACGTCCACTTGCAACTGCACTGGCAGCTGGGGGCGCCGGCCCGGTTTATATAGGGTTGGCGCGGTGATGTCACAGTGCTGTGGTCAGGACAACGGTGTGACATCTCGGCCATGGATCACGCCAGTGCACAGCAGTTCTACGGTAACTAGGAAGGGGCTCTGTGTGGTCACTCGAGCACCCTCTGGAGCAGAGAGGATGGAAGATACTTGTCAAAATGGGACACAGGGATGAGGAGGGGAATGGTGATAGTGTCGCCTCCTTGCTGGCAGAGCATGGGACATGGATTTTCCAATAGGGCATTGCAAAGTCCTTGAACAGGACAAGCCCTGCTGAGCAACATGGAAACCATCGGTGTTCTATCCACTACATTCCCATGCTGAATTGGAAGTTGAATTCAAATCCAGTTCTGTGCCTATTACTGGGAATACAATGGATGCTATCCCATTGAAAACCAGTACCTTTAATACTTTAGGGTTCTTTGACTTCAGGGAATTGAGGCGCAAATAAAGGAAATGGTATGACAGAGTTTGTGTCCGCCTAAAATTAACACTTTAATGAGAAATAAAATAGGGACGATGCCCATAAACCGTGCGCAGTATAGGGACAAACTCCAAAGACCAGGACTACGGGCAGACACAAAAATATATAGGGTAGGTCTGAGGGCAGAGTCAGAGGGCATGGGTCCTACCACTGGAGTTAGAAATGTGCAAAATTCTGCAACAAATAACAACCAGTCTGGGGAGAGAACCGGGAACATTCGAGAAACATAATCTTCTAAGGGGTGAGTTGATTAACATATTAACTGCCATAAGCCCCTTCTCTTTGCCATAACTTAAACAAATGCTTCCAAAGGCTTGAACTTAATGCCTTTTTTTCTGGATGAAATTTGGCTGGCTTGGATCCCCAGCAAGACACAGTCCCGTATCACATAAGTCAGTTCTTCACTCCCTGTCCCCGTTCATTTCACACTGGCACTTCTGCTCCAGAAGGATTCTCTGAGGGACACAATTAAAGCACCTCTTAAAATCCTGAAATAGAACCTGCATTTCCTTCCTATCACCCATGAGCCAGGTGAATTAATATTGTGAAAGGCGATAAGGAAGCTACCACCGTTTTAGGACTGAGAAGGCCTATGCTGAAGTAAACCCACAGGTGTGGGCAGTCCCAAGGAAATGTAGAAAATGAGATATGGAACCTTCCAAATCACTTTGAAGCCACCAGGACAAGTGCTATCTAAAAAGCAATACATGGTCAGTGAGAAGTCCCAGGTCAATAAATGCCCCTGGAGCTCATTTAGGATCTTGCTGGGGACTTGGTTTGGGAATGGATTCAGACAGGTAAGTGGCTTGAAAGCTGCTCCCCCTAATTTTCTTGTAAGTGAGATATGTATCAAAATGGATTTCTAGAGCAGTAAATTATAATTAAGTGCTTATTATAATATTCATTAAGAGCGACTGTCTGCTGTACTGTTACACCAAATACTAATTATTAGAAATTAAGGTGACAGGAGGGAATAATATTCTGAATTGTGTAAGTGGGAGTAATAAGAGCCTAGGAGGGATAAGCAGACAAAGCAACAGGAGAATTTCCTTTCTACAGGGAAATCAGTGGTAATGGAATCCCCAGTGACACAGCACTGGGAGGCGTGGCTGCCCAGGAAGGGGTTGTGGGCAGGGGACAAAATTAATGACAGCTAAAAAGACACCAAGCAGAGGGGTCGTATCTGTGGGACCATTGGGCTCCAAGTGTTCAGTTTTGGGGTATCATCACCTGGCAGGATCCATCCAGTGGATTGACCTCCAAAGGCTCCATCTTGCCTCCATGTTACTTTTCTAGTTTGTTTGCTAGGTTTATTTGTTTTTTTTTTAATTCCTCTTCAAACTGAAGTTAAATTCCTACAATGATTTTGTTGCAACTAGTCTAGTAATAGGTCTCTGGCCATGGCAGGGAATAGACAATCTTTGAGGTCCCTTCCAGCTCAAACCCATCTGCAGCAGGGGTGAGATGGATGCAGGGCAGGATGAACAGCCAGGGAAGCAGCCAAAGCCATGCAGCCATGTGTGAGGAACAGTTTTTCCAGTCCCCAGCAAAGGAAAATCATAAACTTCACCCTCTATTGTTGTCTGTGCTGCTCCACACTAAGCACAGCTGTCTCAAGGCCTCCCTCCAGCAGAACCTTTTTAATCACAGTCCCTCTCTCCTGTGGTTAAATTAGGGGGAAAAAACATCATCTCCTATGTGAAAGTGATTCCTTTGTTGCCAGACATTTCCAGGTTTTCCATTTTCTCCTCCTTAAGTAGGAAGAAGTCATTTACCATGTTTTTTTCTAAAGCAATTTCCAGGGACGTCCAGCAAACATGGCCAGGAGCCATCAGCAGCCAAGCCCTGACTGGGTTTCTTTGCTTGAGTAAATCAATGTTTTGCCACTAATGGGAGATGAATGCCCATTTTCCGTGCCCCATTTATTTTATTGCCAGGGCTGGGGTGCAGAGGAGGCAGCACTGGGGCAGCTCTCTGGAAATCCCAGAGAGAACTTGAAATATTCACTCCCATCCCATTTTATGGTGTGTGATGTGCAAACACATTAGGGAAGAGCTGCTGCACTCACCAGCTGGAATAACTCACAGTGCCTGGCTCTCTCTCTGTCCATCTCTATTATTTTTAGTTGGCGTTTCCACAGGGTTGTTTTAAGGATGTGGGATGCTCTTGCTCAGTTTGTGCCAGCAAAAATCCCTGTGGAAGAGATTTTTTTTGCCACAGCAGGGTTTTTTTTTATTATTAGACTGAAAAAGTATCTTTTTCCCTGTCCTGTTGGGACTTTTGTGGGATGTGGACAGGGATGGGAACCCTGAGCCACCATGGGATGGCAAAGGCAGGAGCTGACCCACCACCAGCTTGAGGTGAAGCAATTAAAGCTTGTAGCTGCCACCAGCATTTCCTGCCTGTAATTAATGCTTTTAATGAGAAGGCATATGGTAACCCCCTCCTCCCCCCTGGCATTTTGCCGGGTGTGGGTTTATTAACAGCTGCTAATTATACCATTATTCACTGTCTAAGTCAGGGAGGACTGCACTGTGTGCTCTGACTGCCTGTGAATGCTGCCAAAATTTTTTTCACTTAAATTTTCTGTTTTTTCTTTACACAGGGAACTGAACCCCCTGGGGGTTTGCAGGGCAAACCAGCATCCCTGGGATACAGAGCCAGCTCCTTTCCCACTTTACCTGACCCCTCTGCTGCAAATCCAGCTGCACATCCTCCTCCTCACAGCCAGAACATGCTTTTGTTCCCAGAGGGAGTTTTTCTGGAAGCCTGATAGTCCCAGGAACTGTAGAGGGGCTTGAAGCCATTCTCTATCTGATGGAGTATCCAAGTGCCAGGACATCCTCAGCCCCATGGATCCTCAGGGCTCCTGCGTGCCCCAGAGCAGGAGGGCATTATCCTGGTAGGAAAAGCAGTGGCTTTGTTCCCCTCAGACCTCAGCTCTGCTGCTGGGGTGCTCATTGCACCAAGTGCTTGACATTAAGGCTCTTTCTCTATTTCCAACATCTTGGAAATGTTTTACCAACAGCTGGTTACAGTTTTAAGACTGGGTATTACGAAGTACCTCACTCCCAGCCTGGGCCTCTGAGTATTCCAGTTCCATGCAAGTATTGGGAGAAAATGAGCATTAAAATTATCCATGTGGAAGTTCTCCCCCTCTTTTCCAAGCCAGTCCCAGTTCCCGCTCCTGCCATGGATGCTCTGGATCTGCCTCTGAGAGCGATGGGAAGCTGGAACAGGATGGATGGAGAGGCCACTGGGGATGGAGTCAGGGTATGTCAAGCTGCTCATGAGGGTCTGAATCTCCAGAGGACCCACAAACACATGGACATGATTTGGAGTTGGGAATATTGGATCCAGCCACTGTGGATGTGGCACTTGAGGATATGGTGAGTGCTGGCCATGGCAGTGCTGGAGGAACTGCTGGACTTGATGTTCAGAGGACTTTTCCAGCCCAAAGAATTCCATGATTCTGTGAGCTGCCACAGCTCCCTGCCCGAGGGCACTGCTCCTGCACTGCTCTCTGGAGCATCAGGATATAATTATTGTAAAAGATTTAATTATGGTGACTGCAGCTGGGTAGGGTCCAGCTTTCTGCCAATCTGTGTGTGGTCACTCCGGGCACGGAACACTCAGGAAAAGCATCTCCTATTTACTGAGGATAAAACAACTGATTCACCTGAGGAAACACGATAATTCTTGGTGTCCAGGAAAGTTGCACTGAGTTGGAAAAACAGACCAACCTCCTGTGGAGCCGAGCCCTGGGCCGGGCTGCTGGTGCCCTCTGCTGCCAAGTGACACTTTTCACATCTTACTCTTCTCAATTTGATGAAGAAACAATTCCAAACTGTGTTTTATGTTTTCAGTACACTTTTTTATTGCAGTCACCTCTAAATGATTCACAAGGTTAATGACTTTTAAGCCTCTATGCTAGTAAAGTAGAAATTAATATTGATATTTAATGATAGAATTAACCAGGAGATTAAAAAAACTGCCATGGAAAGATGCACAGACTCTCAAGGATTTCGAATTAAGTACAGAGAGAATAAGTTTAATGAAGACACGAGCTTATCAGTATTCATAACATTTTCACAAGAAAATCTGATTAAACATTAATAAAAGGAATTTTGTTATTTAGTAGAAAACAGACACTGTACAACAACAACAAAAAAAACCCAAAAAGAATATATAAAGCAATTTAAGATGAAGTAGGACAAAGTGATGGAATTACTCATTTCCTCCAGTGGCTTCTGCTCTGTGGAGCAGCAGCTCTGTGCTGAAACAATCAAAGGTGGAGTGGTGAGGAACCCTGAGATTCCAGAAATTGGGCTAAAACTTGGTTTGATGTCAACATATCTCATCAGAACCTTGTCAACAGCATCAGTGTCATCCTTCTCCCTGCACTTCCTCCTTGCTGGCTTTCCAAACACAGTGAAAGGCACCGCAGACATGGGCAGGCAGCTCCTGGCAAAGTCCCCATGTCCTCACTGAGCCTGCACCGGCCTCAGGCTGGAAACCACCTACACATTCCTACAAGTCTTAGCGAGGCTTTGTTTTTATAATCCTTAAAATGGGCAAGTGCTACACTGTGTTCAAAGGTAACATGCAGTGTTTTCAAAAGTCCCTTATGCAACCCAAAATTTAGGAAGAACTTAGGAAGTTAACAAGCTGAGTTACATTTTACAGGCTTTTCTCCCCTTCCTGCCTTAGGGAGGTGCAAACTGGCACAGCTAACAGCTTTTAGACCAAATCCTGGCAGGATGAGTGGAGTAAGGGAAAGATAAGCCCCTGTAATTTTAAGCAAGCTCTCTGTATGACATCTGTTGCCTTTTCAGAATTTCCATTACATTAACTGATCACGCTGCTTCATTTTTTTGCTCTTCTCCTCAACATCTTTCAGCACATCCTGCAGTTTCTTAGAGCTCTGCATCAGGAGGGCAAAGCTTTCCTTGAAGTTGCTGGCCCCGTGCTCCCTGCAGATATTCTCAAGCCCATCAAAGCACTGCAAAATCTTCTCCAGCTCGGCCGTGACAGCTTTCTGTTCCTCCAGCTCTGCTCGCAGCGCCTGCTCCGCGGCCGCCTCTGCCCTGCACTGCTGCTGCAGCTGCTGCAGCTCGTCCTGCAGCGCCTGGAATTCCTCCTTGCTGTAGGGATACTGCTCCTGCACCCTGTCCTCGGGCAGCAGCACGTTCTTAGGGATCTTCATCACCAGCTGCAGCACCACTTCTTCCATTTTAGCGAAGAGTTTATCGAAGTGCTCCTTCATGAAGACCAGGAATTTCTCGGTGCATTTCCGGATCTGGGAAGGGCTGACTTTGCAGCCGGGGATGCTGTCCAGCTTCTTAAGCATCACGCCCTCCACCACCAGCATCACTTCGAAGAGGTAGTCCTGGAAGGCGATGTAGAAGCGCAGCATGCACGTCTGGGGCGTGAACCCGAAGAACTGCGTCTCGTAGGCCATGGGTTCCACCGACATGGCGGCGGGGGGCCGGGGCGGCCGGGCCGCGAGGGGAAGGCGGGTCTCACAGGGCTCCCCGGCGCTACCCGAGGCAGCGGGGCCGCTGCTCCCGCTTGCGGGCCGAGTGCGGGGTCCGGGGCCGCTGCCCAAGGACGGTTCCGAGACCGGCGGTGCCGCCACCGCTTTCCCGCCTCGCTCGAGCGCCGCCTCAGGGCAGCCTCGCCCGCAGCCAATCAGAGCCCGCCGGGGCACGCTCGCCGTCCAATCACCGAGCGCTCCATCCCTCGGGGGGCGGGCCAAACGCGGTGAAAGGCAATGACAGAGCCGGGTGGTGGGCGGGTACTTAAAAGCAACCAATGGGGGCGCGGAGCGGCGGCCGCGGGCTGGGCAGCCGGCCAATGAGAGAGCAGATCGGAAGGGGGCTGCTGCTCAGCCAATGGGAGCGCGGAGCGTCGGGCGGGCGCGGAGGCGGGCGGGACGGGGCGGGGCGGGGCCGTGCCGCCAAGATGGCGTACCAGACGTTCCGGCAGGAGTACCTGCAGGTGCCGCCCGTGACCCGGGCCTACACCACCGCCTGCGTCCTCACCACCGCCGCCGTGGTCAGTGCGCGGCCGCGGGAGGGAGGTCGTGACGGGAATTGGGAGCGGGGTGGGCGCAGGGAAGCCGTGGAAGGGGAGCCCTGAGGCACCGCCCCCGCTCTGAGGCGCGTCTGGAGCCCCTCAGCGAGGGGATTCCCGAAACAGGCCCCGGGGAGATGCAAAGCACAAATAAATAACAACAGCGCCAGAGGGTTGTTGTATTGAGGCTCCCGCTTGCCAGAAAACTCACAGTGCTGCTTGACGACTTGCTGGGCTCTTTTAAGCGGGTTGCTGTGTTGGCTGTGTATTTTTTCTTCTTTTTTTTTTTTTTTTAGTTTCTTGTATTGACCCTTTCAAAATGTTCTCTTCTTTTTCAGCAATTAGAACTTATCACGCCCTTCCAGCTGTATTTCAACCCTGAGTTAATATTTAAGCACTTTCAAGTAAGTGTGTTCTGAAGCACGGGAGGTTTTAAACTGTGCTGGAGAGTTTTTTAAGTGCTTATTTTTTCAAAATAGTGTACTTCTTGTATTAGAAATACGCTTTTTAAAAGCTACTGTAGCCAGAGTGCAGACCAATGTACCATTAAATAGGTCTTAGTTTCATTTTCTGTAAATGAGATATTGATTTCATTGTTGCTTATCTATTTAGACAATAAAAATAAGCTGTCATGTTTAAAGTGCTTGTATTTGTCTTATTTCCAGATATGGAGGTTAATCACAAACTACTTGTTCTTTGGACCAGTTGGCTTTAATTTTTTATTTAACATGATCTTTTTGTATCCTTCACCAAGTTGTGTTGGTTCCCTTGGCAAGCAGAGCTCCAGAGTGCAGGAATGTTGCTGTACCTACACACAGGAAAGGTTGAGCTCCTGGGAATTCAGCAGTGCCAACTTCTCTGGTGTCATGAAGGGGCTTTAAGGGGGTCTCCTTCCTAAGCAGTCAAAAATTTTGCCAATTACTTTTTCAGTGTTAAGAATTTGTACAAGCCTGATCCTTCAGGTTGGTGCTGACCTCGTGCAGGAGGAAATTCCAGATAACTTTTTTGCCTCCTGGGTCACCCTCTCTGCTGAAGTATCCAGAAAGAGCCAAGTCAATGAAGTAAATTGATAAAAACCACTTTGAAGCTGATGTAGGATTGAATCATTTTCTGCTTGGATCTGTCTCTAAACTCATTTGCAATGGAGTTTTCCTGACCTGTGGCCTCAGATACCGGTACTGCCGCATGCTTGAGGAAGGCTCTTTCCGGGGTCGGACGGCAGATTTTGTATTTATGTTCCTTTTTGGAGGACTTTTAATGACTGTATCCTTTTTGTTTTAATTGCAAGCTCCTTTAGTAAAGCTACAGATGTATGAATGAGAACTGAGATCGTGTTGTTACTGTTACCTTAATATAGTTTTGTTGCACAAAGAGTACCAATATTTGTTAGGATGGTTTTGAATACTTCGGGATTGTTGCTGGTTTTTCAGGTTTTTTCCTGCTTGATAATGGTAATGAAATTATCAGGTTATGACTTTTCAGGTGTGGTCTTATGCTCAGGTTGCCTGTGAAGAATTAACTTATCCTTTAATGAGATTATTCATGCTGCAGGTACCCTGAATCCTGCTGCAGATGTTGGATTTGATGGACAGTAGTTTGAAAAACTTGCACCTGGGAAAGTGGAGTTAGCAGCAGTGTGGAAAACATGGGATTACAAATTAAGATGTGAAATTCCTGACCTCACAAGTGTTTCCTTAACAACCCATGCCAGCTTTTTGGGCTGTTTGTGAACTTGGTGTTCCTGGGCCAGGCGTTCACCATCATGCTGGTGTACGTCTGGAGCCGCAGGAACCCCTATGTCCGCATGAACTTCTTCGGTCTCCTCATCTTCCAAGCCCCATTTCTACCCTGGGTATTGATGGGCTTTTCACTGCTTTTAGGGAACTCCATCATTGTGGATCTCCTGGGTGAGCAATGGTGACAATCACGAGGATCTGTTCCTCCTCATGTTCTGCATGAAACAGAAAATGGGGACAAATCCAAGGGCTAAATGCCCTAATGCTTGGTGTTCTGGTATATTTCTACCAGGCTTTTCTGATTTCTAACCATTATAGCATGTTTTGTGCTGTGATAAGGATGGAAAGAGCTTCTGATGTTTTGGCTTTTTATTGCTTGGAATCAGCCCTGATGCATCATCTGACCATAGCATCAGTCTACTGAAATAAAATAGTTTATATTACTATTTTATCAACTCTTAATAGAGCCAAAACATCAGTATTTTTAATAATGACAGGACATTTTTTCCAGTATTAATGCCTTGCAGTGTAAGTTAACCTTTTTATCTGCTACTAGCTTTCTTCCTTAGGTTTTTTTATTTCTGTATCATATTTTCTGTGAGAGAACCAATGCGTGTTGTTTTTCTGAAAACTCCAGTATAAAGCATTTGAGAGTTGTAAAGGAGAAGGATTGAAAAATCACCTTTTGGCTTTTGTTTCAATACCAGGCATTGCTGTTGGGCATATATATTTTTTCTTAGAGGATGTCTTTCCCAATCAGCCTGGTGGTGGGAGGCTCCTGAGAACACCGTCTGTCCTGTGAGTATTGGTGTCTGCTTTGGCAGAGACATGGAAAAAGTGCTTGTTTGGGAAACTGTTTGCAGCTCAGTCACATCAGCTTCTGGTGAATTGGGCAGAGACAGAATTGGGGGGTGTCTGTTCTTGCTTTTTATTGAACTTGTGTTGCCAAAAAAGGAGCTGGCATTTGTTTAAGTGGGAACCAACTTAACTGGGAGAAGAGCTAAAGGATTTTACCTTTGGTTACTCTGATAACACTTGTCAGGCTTTGCTGACAGCTTTTTTTTTAGTGGCACCAAAGCTGTGTCCCCTGCTGAGTGTGAACAGTGCCTGAGGTATTACCTCATATATATATATATATATCTTCTGTAAGTTATCCTCAGGCCACAGTTTTGGGGAAAAAATCCTTCAGTGTTTATAATATTGAGTAGTGGTGCTCCCACTCAGTTCCCTCTTGTGTGGATGCTCTCTGAACACCTCTGATGGTTGTTTTTCACAGAATCATAGACTCTCCTGAAGATGTCTGGCACAGAGTTATTTATATCACATATAGCAGAAGATGAACCTCATCAGTCTTGATTTGGGATCCCCTTCCTAGCGGCTCCAAATTGGAGAGCATAAATCCCACTGCCTGGGCAAGCCATTCCTGAGGGAGGACACCATTCCATGGGCAGCATTTGAGCTGTCTTGATCTTTCTGTGAGAGCTGTGTTTTAAAGGATAAACCATCCTTTGTGTTTTCCAGGAAAGCAATATTTGACACACCAGAGGATGACCCCAACTACAACCCCTTGCCCGAGGAGCGGCCGGGGGGGTTTGCGTGGGGAGAGGGGCAGCGCCTCGGGGGATAATCCTGTGCCAAAACCCCTGGGAGAGACTGGCCTGGGCCCAGTCCCACGTGGAGATTCTCCTTCCCCAGCGCAGAGAGGACTCTCTGACAGCTCTATGGTTTGGAATAGAAGCACTTTATGAAATGGCAGTCTCACCCAAGGCACTCCAGCGCCTTTCCCCAGTCAGGGAATTCATTGTGCCGGACATAATCTAAATCCAGTGGAGCCAAAAATGTAAAACTGGAAACTGTTTCCTGTTGACTTCAGTTAACAAGGCCACGCAAGTACTTGTTTAAAGTGATTTCTAAAGCATTTTTTTCAAGTTATTTGATACATGAAACTCTATGGGAAACTTTACAGGGGACAAACCCAGCTTTTTGGGTTTAACTAATTTTTTTTATTCTTGGATAAAACAACTACAAGATGATTGAAAGGCTAAGTCACTATTTCAATGGCAGAAGGATTTTTAATCTGAGGTGCTGCTGCCTCCAGTCATCTTTGAATTGCAGGGAGCACAACATGCAGCATAATGCAGCTTCTCACTCTGCCAGGTGGGTTTTTGGAATGTTCTGCAGGCTGAGGCTACATTTTGATGTTTTTTTCCTCTGAGGACTGTGTGTTCACTTGTCCAGTTTTCACACTGGTGGTTAAATAGGTGTGCCTGCAAAATCCACCCCCATGTGCCCTCTGCTGTTACTGAATGACCTGCAGCACTAGAGAAGGAAACCTGTCTGAATTCAGGACTCAGATGATGATGAGTTGAATAAAATGTCTTGTGTATCCCTTTTGGTTAATCTTCTGTGTAATCATGTAGTCTTGAAGCAGCAGGTGAAAAAGCAGGAGCTGGAAAAAGCAAGTCCTTGAAGAGACAGAGAAAACTGAAGCTTTTCACACAAGTGTCTCAGAACTGCAGGACACAGCATTGTCTGCTCAGGATGTGAAATCCACAGTCTGTGGATGAAGTTTGTTGTGTCCAACACAGGCTAATGAGACTGAGTGGGATTTAGCTTAAAGCTAAATTGATTATAAATATATCTGAGGAGCCACAGGAGCTTGGAGCTCAGTTCAGCTCTTCATGGTCAGTTCTTAAATTGCCATAGAAAGTACTGGGTAGGGGTTTATTGATTATATCATAGTAGATAAAATATATCATAGCAGATGAAATGAGTTAAAGCTGCATCTTCATTCTACGTTTTAGAGGATGGGCTCATGCATGACAGTGTCAGATTATGTTTTCAGAAACTCACCACAGGTTTTAATATTTGTAATTTATGATCCAGGAGAGAAATATGTGGATATCTCAGGGGAAATGCTTTGTCCACAAGCAGTATGTTAGATTCTGATAAAATCTGTGAGGTGATTTGTATCTGCATTTTTATCTGTTAAAGGTTATGAAAACTTAGGGGAGCTTTGTGGGGTTTTACAGGTTTTTCAGCTTGTTTTTTGGGACAGTTTTGATTGTTTCTAGAGTAGACTTCCAGTGCTGCTAGAGAACAAGAGTGAAAGTGTTTTGGACAATGTTGCTTCAGCATAGGTTATGAGGCAGGAATTAGATCAAAACCTTATTTTTATTTTTTGGTTTTTTTTAGTTCAGTGTTTGAGAGCCCCTCCTTAGCTTGTTACTGGCACAAGTCCTGAACGGGAACATGTCCCGACCGTGCCGGCAGCCGGCTCTCTGCCCTCCTTGCTTGCATTTGGCTGCGGTTTGGGGTCCGGGATTTTTCCGAGGGTCCCCGGCCCCGAGGGGCTCTCGGAGCAGGTAGCGGTGCAAATGGCGGCGACATCGAGACTACAACTCCCAGGATGCTCCTCGCAGCGTCGCGCTGTGACGTCATTGCTGCGCCAGGGAGCCTGTGGAGCGCGGCCGGAGCCCCGGGACAGCCCCGGCGGGACGGGACAGGACGGGACGGGACCGGAGGGCGAGGGGCGATGGCTCAGGACAGCGAGGGGCCTCCGGCCAAGCGGTTCAAGGCAGCGCCCGCCGGCACGCAGCCCCAGAGCGCCGCGCCTCCCGCACACGTGCAGCGCCGCTCCCTGCCCATCTCCGGAGCCCGCGGCCCGCTGCTGGCCCGGCTCCGCCGCCTCGACACCGCCGTGCTCATCGGTGAGTGCCGGGCCGGGCGGTGTCCCGTGGAATGGCCTGGGCTGGGAAAAGCTGCTCAGAAACTGTTTGGGTGTAAATCTGAAGTGTGATGGACAAGGGGTATGATGACTTGTGCTTTGGCAGCCGGGGACTTCGTTTTTATGGAGAAGGCGAAAGTATTTCCCTCTCCTTTCGCTGTCTGCCTGGAGTTCAGTCAAAGCCAGATGGCAAAATTATCTTCTTCTGAAGACTCTACTCACTTACTTACATTTTCAGGGGTTTTCCACTGATTTTATTATGCTTTCTGTGAGTACAAACTAAAAAGCTTTTTGTCAGACTTTCAGGAGCTAAAGATATACAGCTTCCCACCTGGTAGTCTAAAGACTCAGCATTTGTTGTAACTAAATGAAAAACGCTTTGTATGTCACTCCTATCAGTGTCACACCACAGACACTTCACCTCCAGAGAGGCTGGAGTACATTTCTAAACCAGAATGTGACTGGAGAGCATCTGGGTGGAGAGAGCTCTGCAGGGGAGCAACCCAGCAGCAAGAGCAGAGCATTGGGGTGGTGTCTCTGCCCTGCCACCCCTTTGTGGTGGGGCTTTCCCCATCTTCAGCTTCCCCATTCTCAAACAGGGCTAAAAGTTAACATAAAAAACCGAGTTTGACAATGCTATAATAGTGCGGGGTTGGAAACCCTATTCCCTTGATATTCCTTAGGAGAAACGGGCTCAGGGAAGACCACTCAGCTCCCTCAGTACCTGTATGAAGTGGGGATTGGCCACCCTGGCATCATCGCTGTGACCCAGCCCCGCAGGGTGGCAGCTGTCACCCTGGCTGCCAGAGTCGCTGAGGAGAAGAGGACGGAGCTGGGGAGGCTGGTAGGTTGGTCTACAGCTTAACTCTGCACTGGGGATGGGGCTCTGGAAGGCTTCAATGGGTAGGATAATCATTCTTTAATTTAATTATTAATTTCATAATTAGTTTTGGGTGCCACAATATAACAAGGATGTAAAAGCTGTATGAGAGCGCTCAAAGGAGCGATATGAAGATGGTGAAGGGTCAGGAGGGGCTGAGATCATTTGGTCTGTTCAGCTGGAGAAGTGGAGAATTTGGTCAAATTGGTCAGCAAGGTCTGCAGCTTCCTCCTGAGGAGCAGCTCCAATTTCTGCTCTCTGTGACCAGGGACAGGACCTGAGGGAACAGCTGGAGCTGTATCAGGGGTGATCTTGGCTGGATATCAGGGAAAGGTTCTTCCCCCAGAGGGTGCTGGCACTGCCCAGGCTCCCCAGTGAATGGGCACGGCCCCAAGGCTGCCAAAGCTCCAGGAGTGTTCGGACAGCGCTGCCAGGGATGCCCAGACTGGGATTGCTGGGGTGTCTGTGCAGGGCCAGGAGCTGGACTTGGATGATCCCTTCCAGCTCAGGATATTCTATGATTCTATAATTAAATGAATGGAGAAAAATGGCTCTTTACCTGCCCCATGACAGGGTGGGCATGGTGTGTCTCTGTGGTATTGTACTTCTTGATTATTATCTGTGTTGTTCTGTTTGAAAAAATAATGATTCATGAATAAAACAAAAACTATTGTGCTCCCTGTATCAGAAATCACTGTCAAGGAGAGCAGAATCCTGAATGTGTGCAGGTCTGGGGGAGAAAAGCAGAGGAGAAAGACTTCCACTGCATAAAATCCTTGGAGAATGTGGAATCTTTTCTAGCAGTGAGAGGGAGGGAAGGAGGGATGGCATTGGAGGGCATTTGTGATGAACTTTTAGTTAGGAAGAAGCCGACTAGAGACGTTGGGAGTATCATTTGCTAGATTTGGAAGAAGAACTGCTCACAGACAGCAGATAAACTGCTCTGCTTTCCAGAGCTTCCACAGGCTTCTGGTTGGCTCTGTCCAGTACAGTGACCAGGAGCTTTGTAGCCCTTCCTTGAGGCAGGATGAGAAATGCCAGTCTTTGTGCCTGTAATCGCTGTGTGATCCCTTCCCCAGGTTGGTTACACCGTGCGCTTCGATGATTGTTCGTGCGCTGAGACCAGGATCCGGTTCCTGACGGACGGAATGCTGCTCCGAGAGGCCATCGGGGACCCTCTGCTGCACAAGTACAGCGTGGTCATCCTGGATGAGGCCCATGAGAGGACCATCCACACTGATGTGCTCTTTGGAGTGGTCAAAGCTGCACAAAAGAAGCGAAAGGAACGAGGCCTGCGGCCACTGAAAGTGTGTTCATCTGGGATGGCAGCGAAGGGCAGGGTGGGGCTGGGCTCTGAGTGCTCTGAGCATCTCCTGGGGCCTTCCAAAGTGTTTGGAATTTCAGCCTTGACCATTTTTCTGTTCCTAAAAACTCACTTTAAATCTGAATAGTTAAGGGTGTTTGACTTACAATGTGTGGGCCTGATATGACACCTCTGAACAAGATATCTGGTCACCAGCATGATAGCTTTTTTCCACAAAAGCCCCTTGGGTGTGAGCTCTAGACTAGACAGAATGCTGGGGAGGTTTTGGCACTGCTCAGGTGTTGGCACTCCAGGTGCAGGAGCTCTGGCTGATGGCACAGCTCTGGGACATGCTCATTCCCAGGTAGGGTACTGCACATGGGATGGGTGGACGTGTCAGGAATTTGTGTGAAAGCACATTGGCTTTGCTGGAGGGGCCTTGCATGGTCTTGTTCCACACACCAGCTCCTTCTGTCACAGCATTTTCTGCTTGTGTTAAAAAGCTGATGGCTTTAACAAGGGGAAGTCACTGTCTTCTGTCCCAAAGCCTGTGAGCTGTTCTGAGCATGGTTCTCAGGATCCAGAAGCTGACTTTTGGCTGGTCCTGACTCGGTGGTGTCCAGCTGGATGCAAGCTGCAGTGCTGACCCATCCTGTGCTCCCCCTGAAGGTGATTGTCATGTCAGCCACGATGGATGTGGACCAGTTCTCCCAGTATTTCAGTGGAGCTCCTGTCATCTATCTGGAAGGCCGGCAGCATCCCATTGAGATCTTTTACACCAAGGAGCAGCAGAGTGACTACCTGCAGGCAGCACTGGTGTCCATCTTCCAGATCCACCAGGTATGAGGCTCTCTCCAAGTTTGTGTCCCTCTGGGGCCAGGGGTTGGCGTTTTGTGCTGGGATGTTTGACTGCCAAACACTTGGATTGTTGTGTTGCTTCTTTAAACTGCATTTAGTGCTTTGAAGTTGCTGCTGCTGTTGGGATTTGGGACCTTTATGTCCAGGCTGGAGCTGAAGGGATACTGCTGAGCAAAGCTCTGTAATGTCAGCTCATGCCTAAAACCTGAATGTTCCTCTCACCTGAGTTCTCTGTACCTGCTGACTGCTTGCTGGCTCCCTCTGCCTGGCCTGGACAGTTATTTGAGGACACAGCAATTCCTCCATCCTTTTAACACTCAGTCCCTCAAAATGTGATTTACTCTTTACCTCTGTTGAATCCTTTGGGAATTCTGGCTGTTGCATACCTTGCACACGTGTGTCTTTTCTTTCTTCTTAGCCTGCTTCAGTGACTTGCTGCCAGAGCCACATCTCATTACTGCCTCAGTTCTCCTTTTCTATCCAAACCTTCCTAAGTTGCTTTTTCCTCTGGCTCCAGGAAGCCCCTGCATGCCAGGACATCCTGGTGTTCCTGACTGGTCAGGAAGAAATTGAAGCAATGACCAAAACCTGTCGAGATGTTGCCCAGCATCTCCCCGAGGGCTGCCCACGGATGACAGTGCTGCCCCTTTATGCTTCTCTGCCCCATTGCCAACAACTCCGTGCCTTTAAACCTACCCCTGAGGTGAGGATGGGTGAACAACACCTGTTACCTGTTTGCTTCCATGAGTCTTGGGAAGAAACACTTGCACTTTCAGGGGCTAAATCAGTCTGTACTGGCAGTAAGCAATAGTCTCCATTTGCTTTAGGCTGAGTGGTTCCGGTGTGATAAAAGACACTGCAACTGTGATGGTTTGAACTCATGCATCCAGTAAGTCAGATGGGAGCACAAAAAGAAGGAGGGATTAGAGGGAGTGAAAAGGGCACAGGAATTTAAATTTCCCCCATTTCATTGGAATTTTTTGTCCATATCACAAAAAAGCTGCAGCAGCTAATGGGGGAAATACTGAGAAAGCTGAAAACCTGAGAATGTTTGTCAGGGCCATAATAAAAGGAATTTGTGCTTCCTCAGGCTCTTTTGTACTTACTCAGCAGATAAATAAGAACACAAATGTTGTGTCAGAAATGAAACCAAAACTGTTGAAAGATACATTGAGAACAGCTGTTGTGGTGTATTTTGCTGCAAATGCAGGCTCATGTTTTAGAAGCTGATTAGAAACTGGAGATTACCTTAATTTCTGAGAGCTGGCACAGCAAGTGCAGTTTGTGCTCACAATGTGGGGCAGGGCTTGGCCCACACTGGCCCAAAGCAGCAGAATTTCTGTGTTGCAGCTGCTCTGAGGTAGCCTTGGTTTGATTTGTCCTTCCTCCCAGGGCTGCCGCAAAGTGATCCTCTCCACCAACATCGCAGAAACCTCCATCACCATTGCGGGGATAAAATTCGTTGTGGACACAGGCATGGTCAAAGCCAAGAAGTACAGCCCTGGTGAGGAATTCTGAGGAACAGGGCCAAGATTGAGTTTGGGTTTGTAGAAGTTACTGGAGGCCATAAGCCCCACTGAAAGAGGATTTCAGACACCCTCTGTGCTGTTAAATTAATGTCTCAGGTTGGGGTGTGGGGTTTAGTGGTGTTTTTGTGGGGTTTTTTGTGTATCAGCCATGAAGGGGGGTAAAAATCTGTCAAATGTGAATCTTCTCTTCATGGACACAGCATGGGATAGTTCATTGTGTTTCACAGTGCTGAACCAAGTGAGCACTGAGCTGTATTTGAATGTTAAACCCTGGGAATTCTCACTGTTAATCCTCTGTGTTTTCCAAAGCTGTGCCTTGCACAGGCACTGGCTGAGGTGATGCTTTTCCATTCCCAGAAACTGGGCTGGAAGTGCTGGCAGTGCAGCAGGTGTCCAAGGCCCAGGCTTGGCAGCGCACAGGGAGAGCAGGGAGACAGGAGAGCGGCATCTGCTACCGGCTCTACACAGAGGAGGACTTTGAGAAGTTTGATGAAATGACAACACCTGAGATACAGAGGTGAGGACAGAGCCATCACACTCCTCGCCACACCTCTTTTACAGCTGGAGCTGTGGGAAGAACTGAGCAGCAAAACTGGATCTAGGGGCTGATGGGATGACTTGAGAAAAATGGAAGCGTGGGGACTAAACAGAAAAACTGGGAAAGGTTTGCTCAGGGTGGACAGTTGCACTGAGTCTCCAAACACATGAGGCAATAGCTCTCCTGACTGTCCTCCAGATCTTGGACTTGCCTCTTCCTGGTTGAGGAAGTAAGGCTTGAGCAGCAGCATCAGACTAGTCTCTGTCAAGCTGCAGCACAGGCCTGAGACTCTGTCTCAGCTTCTGTAAAAAAAGAATAAAATAAAATAAAATAACTATCTCAGTTGTTTTTTCTGCCTGTGCAGGTGTAACCTGGCCAGTGTGGTGCTTCAGCTCCTAGCCCTGAGAATTCCCAATGTGCTCACCTTTGACTTCATGTCCAAACCATCTCCTGGTAAGTGGCTACAAAGGCAGCCATGGGGAAAAAGAGCAGGGAGCAGTCTTGAGTCATAACAACACAATGTGAAGGTGTGCCCTGACTGCCAAAGGAAGCCAGAGTAAATGGGGGAGAAGTGCTCATTCTTCTGGATAGAAGAGGATAAACCACATTTTGGGACCCTGATTTCTCTAAATGGAAAGTGCTTGTCCCTCTGGCCAGGGGAGGGAGGCAGTGATGGAGCCAGATGATCCTTTACATCCCTCAGTGGGAGGCAAAAGGCCTCACAGCCCAATGTCCTTGTTTTGGCAGATGCTATTCAAGCAGCAATTGATCAGCTGGACCTGCTGGGGGCTGTGACCCAAAAGGAAGGTCAGCTTGTCCTGACCCCCGTGGGAAGGAAAATGGCAGCCTTTCCACTGGATCCAAAATTCTCCAAGGTAAAAACTGCAGAAAAGTAAGCATTTTCAATCTCATATATTCACCTCTGTACCATTGCTGTTTCTCTTTCAAACTCCTTAAACAAGGTGTGAAATTTGGGGTGTTTGCAGCTGTACTGGTATATTTGCTGTGCATTAATGTACAGAATTTACAGCCCTTTTGCTGGATTGCTTGTCATTTGTTGTTAAATTCAGGAAAGTTTTTTAAAAGATAATTTCTTACCTCTGGAACCTCTGAAGGTGAACAAGGCAAATTTGCTTACAATGTTCAGGATTGTTTAGCAGGTCCATGAAATGTCTGTTGCTGTAGTTGGTCTCAGTCTCTGTGTTTGTACTGATTAGGCACTGGTAAGTCTCAGGGAGGAGCCTGGCAGTTGCTGTTAAAGGTGCTTGGTGAGCCCACTGGAGGATTTACAGCTGTTCCTAGGCCCAGATGTTTATGAGATTGTCCCAAGCAATGTTTGGTCTGCCAGGGAACAGAAAGATCTGCCTGGTTGAAGTGGGTTTGGTTGACCAAAGATGAGTTTTGTTGTGTCTGTGCAGGCCATCCTCCTGTCCCCCAAGTTCCACTGTGCAGAGGAGATCTTGACCATCGTGTCACTGTTATCAGTGGACAGTGTCCTCCACAACCCCCCTGCCCAGCGGGATGAGGTGCAGGCGGTCAGGAGGAAATTCATCTCCAGTGAGGGCGATCATCTGACCCTGCTCAACGTGTACAGGGCCTACAAGAATGTCAGCGGGCACAAGGTGAGATGATCTGAGGCTGCCAGTGCTGTCTGAGCTCATGGGGTGAGGAGTTTTTAGCACAGAGCAGAGTGACACCTGCATCCTCCATGGCTGGTGCCACAGGCATCCTCCAAAGCAGAGAGAAAAGAGGGCTCATCCTTTACATCTGGGGAATCGGAGGAAAGTTCCTACAAAGGTTCCTCCAGAAAATTCTGGCAAAGCTTTGTGGGACCTGTTCTGTAATCACAGCCAGGGCTCTTCCGTCCCTGGTTCCAGCTGGAAACAGAAGGCAGGGTGTTAAGACTTGATGATAAATATCTGGACATGCTCTGTGACAGGATTCATTGGAAAAGCACTGAGCATATTTAAAAGGAGATTTGGATTTATCCTACTCTATCAACCCCTCTCATTGATTTGTGCATCTGTGGACTCATGCACCCCATTCCTTGCAGCACCTGTCATTCTTACCTGATTTGTTTTCACCACCTGTGGGATAGCAAGTGCTGTTCTGCAGCTCTTGATGGCCTTGCAGAGCAGCTCTGAGTGGGGAAAGAACCACCACATGCTGTTTCTGAGCACTGTGGGAGGGGACTCTAGACAGAGGGGAGTAGAAATACGGGCAGGAAAAGGGTCAGCACCTTTTCTCTGAGGCAGATTGTAGGGGGGATTCTGCTTCTCATGGTATCCAAAGGCTGTCATGCTCCTGGGGTGAAGAAATAGCCTCTTCTAACTCCTGGTGTCTCTGCTGCAGGGATGGTGCAGAGAGAACTTTATTAATGGCAGGAACATGAAGCTGATGGCAGAAGTCAGAGCTCAGCTCAGAGACATTTGTGTAAAGGTAACTTCCTTCCATGTTCTATTTCTCTGTTTCACCTGTTGGTATTTTCCTGTTTATCCCCAAACTGATGTTACTGTGCACCAAGTCCCTGGAGTGAGAAATCGTGGGGCTGTTTTCAGTCTCCTGTAAATAGCTGACTAAAATTCCTGACTGTGCAGCTGCATCCCAAAATCTTAAAGCCACAGGACTTAGTGGGTCGAGGAGAAATGGGAACCTCTGAGAAGACTTCTCAGGGAGAAAACAGGTTTTCCTAAGGGTTTTTCCTGCTCTAATGCAGGTGGGACTGTGCTGTGTGTGCCACAGAGTGCTGTCAGCCTTGGCAGCCCATGCTGGCTGGCTTCTTCATGGAGTCAGGCATTCAGTGTGGCAGCAGCTTCCCCTCAGTGCTGTTCCTGTTGGACACAGCGTGGGAGCTGCCACTGAACCCCTGGCAGTCTGTGGTGACATGGGAGCCCCCTCTGGGCTATCATTTGTGAGTGCTGGTTGACTTTAAGCTCACTTCCAGCAGGAGAGTGACGATCCATTTTGTTGGCTCTGGGTGAGCCTAGCATCCGCTCAAACTGAATTCCCAGTCATCCCCCAGCGTTCTGGCACAGGAAAATCCCCCAGGATTTCTGAAGAGAGCCCAGTGAAACAGGCCTTCAGGTCATTCTTGCTCACTCCCATCTCTCCCAGCTGTCGATGCCGCTCGAGTCCTCCCGTGGGGACACCGCGAGCGTCCGGCGCTGCCTGGCCCACAGCCTGTTCATGAACGCGGCCGAGCTGCGGCCCGACGGCTCCTACGGCACCGTGGACTCGCAGCAGGTGGTGGCCATCCACCCCTCCTCGGTGCTGTTCCAGTGCAGGCCGGCCTGTGTGGTGTACAACGGGCTGCTGCGCACCAACAAGTGCTACATGCGCGACCTGTGCGTGGTGGACGCGGAGTGGCTGCACGAGGCCGCGCCCGACTACTTCCGCAGGAAGCTCCGGATGGCCAAGAACTGACCCCTGGATGTGGGACCAGCTGGCTCAGCTTTGCCTTGAAAGATTTATTTTTTTAAAAGTTTTAATGTATAAATCTGTTTTTTATAGGCAGGATCATTTAAGTGTGCTTAAGGAAGGGGATGGGTATTTATTTAGATTGGATTTATATGTTTTTTTCCAGAATAAAGAAGTGATGGTGAAAACCCGAATCCTGCGTATTTTTTAGTGAGGCACAGAACAAATGATCGTGAGACAGTCCAGGACCACTCCTGGTGTTTATTATTCTCATGGGAGTGTGTTCATTGCCAGCAGTCTGAGCTTAAAGCTGTGAAGGTAACACCCTGAATCCCTGCTTCTTGTCCAGAATGGTCTCTGCCATTTACATGTGCAGTGCTCATATGCCTGCAGGGAATTGGGAGTTAAAATTCTGGTCCTTTGATGGGTTGGTATCAATTTGATGGGGTGGTACAGATGCTTTGCAGTGAATAGCAAATGGACCTTTTGTGCTTCTCCCCAACAGTGGGCACTAGTGCCAACTTTTGGACAAAGGGGAGGCTTGGTGCCAGGAAATACTGCCTTTGTCAGTCTTTCCTATAAAATACACATTGTTCAAGGGGCAGAAAACCCCCCAAACATTCATTTTGTCTTTTTCTGAGGAGACTGCCACGCTCTGGCCTGGACGCTGGCAGTCCTAATTGGGACTAATTCCTCTTTGTGCCTTCACCCGAGGAGCGACCTGTACGGCTGCTCCTTCCATCCTGCCCATTCCATTGTCAGGGGTCCCAGGAGCCAGGCAGGCACTCCTTGGCACACTCCGTCCTGCCAGGACCGGGGCTCGAACTCGGGGTCTCAGCGGGGCCGGGGCTCGAACCCGCGGTCTCAGCGGGGCCGGGGCTCGAACCCGCGGTCTCAGCGGGGCCGGGGCTCGAACCGGTGGCGCCGTGTCCCGCGCGGGGCCCGCCGGGGCCGGAAGCGGAGCGCGGTTCCGGGGCGGGCAGTCCTGCTCGCCGCTCGCTCTCGCACGATGCTCCTCGCCCGCTCCCTGCGCGCCGCGGCCGCCGCCGCGCTGCGCCCTCCGCGCCCCGCTCCGCGCCGGCCGCTCAGCTCCGCGTCCCCCCGCGCTCTGCCGCCGCCGCCCGCCGCCGCGCCCGCCCTGGCGCGCTCGCTGTGGCAGCTGGGCGGCGGCGCGGGGCGGACGGCGCTGCTGCGGCCGCGGTGGGGCTCGGCCGGCCGCGTGTCCTGCGGCTGCGGCGGTCTGCACACCGAGGGTGAGCGGGGCCGGAGCGGGGCGGACACGTGCGCTGCACACCTCGCTCCGTCCCGGGAAGCACGTGGGGCGGGGTGGCGGCTTTCCATGTTCCCCCCTCTTTTCCTAAGGCAACTCCACCTTTTCCTAATCCCCGTTTTCCCTAAACCACCTGTTTCCCTGAATTCCGTCATTGCCTAAATCCTCTTTTCTTCTACACCCCCTTCTCTACCTCCTCTCCCTACTCCCCCTTCCCTAATCAACTTTTTCACAACTCTCTTTTCCCCAACCCCCCTTTCCCTAACCCTTCTTTTCCTCAAACCACCATTTTTTCCCAAACCCTTTTCCTACCCGTCCTTCCCTTAAGCCCACCTCCCTTTTCCTTAACCCTCCCTTTTCTTACCCCCCTTTTACTCCCCTCTTTCCTTACTCCCCTTTTCCCTAATCCCCACCTTTTCCTAGCTCCCCCTTTCCCTAATTATCCTTTCCCTAAACCCCTGTTTTCCAACATCCCTTTCCCTCCCCTCTCCTTCCCCTGAGCTCACCCCCCCCTTTCCTTAATTCCCCCCCTCTCCATAACCCTCCCTTTCCCTAACCCCATTTTCTCTCCCCACCAGGAGACAAAGCCTTTGCACAGTTCCTGACCGATGAGATCAAGGAGGAGAAGAAGATCCAGAAGCACAAGTCCCTGCCCAAGATCTCTGGGGGCTGGGAGCTGGAGGTCCATGGCACGGAGGCCAAGCTGGTGCGGAAAATCGCGGGGGAAAAGTAAGTGGGGTCTGGGAAGGGTCCCCAGCAGCTGAGGGTGGGCGGGTCACAGTGTCCAGGCTTCTCCATGTGCTCCTGCCCCAAACTGCAGGGTGCAAAAGGCTCTGTATGTTATTACTTTGGGCCAAAGGAGCTTTTTTCACACCAGTTTGTTACTGTGTTTTGTGTTACAAAGTTTCTTCCTGTTTTTAAAAATAACAGTTCAGTAAAACTTTAAAAAGTGAGAGCACTTGGAGGGGGCAGCTTCCCTCAGGTCTGTCTTTTAACTGCACTGCCTGGTTTTGTTCACACTGTGTGAATTCGGAGTGAGGGCTTAAAAGACCCATTCTGATGGGCATTTTTTTGGGTGTGTTCAAAAGAATTGTTCCTGTTTCTTTTGCAGGATAACGGTTACATTCAACATCAATAACAGCATTCCACCCTCGGCTGAAGAAGACACACAGGAGCAGCAGAAACCTGAGGAGCAGGAGGTAACTGAGCCTTGATGTGCATTTAATGTTTGGGACACAGATGAAAAGTTGGAATCTTGCCTTTGGGAAGTTGGAAGCCTTGCCCTCAAGTGTTGAGGCTTTTTCTCCCCCTTATCTGATATTTGGGAGCATTAAGTCACAAAATGCAGATTTTCCAGGGCTGCCTGTCCCCTGGCTGGGACCTTCCTCTCTGCTGCAGAAAGGCAGAGCAGGTGGGAGGGCTCTAAGAGGAGAAATTAGAGGAATTCTGAGACTTTCTAGCACCTTCCAGTACCAAAAGGGTCTACAGGAGAGCGGGAGACTTTGTACAAGGGAATGGAGCAACAGGTTAAGGGGGGTTGGCTTTTAACTGACAGGGTGTGGGGCTAAATTAGTTATTGGGAGAGATTGTTCCCTGTGAGGGTGGGGAGGCCCTGGCACAGGAAAGCTGCCCTGTCCCTGAAAGTGTCCAAGATGAGGTTGGATGGGGCTTGGAGCAGCCTGTGATAGTGGAAGGTGTCAGGGAATACCCAGTGCTGGCTGGGCTGTGCTGTGATTGCTTTGGCTCCTCCTCAGATTCCAGTGCTGATGCAACTCTTCTCTTATTTAGCCTGAACTTACATCAATTCCAAACTTTGTTGTGGAAGTAATAAAAGATGATACAAAACAGACCCTTGTGCTTGACTGTCATTTCCCTGAAGATGAGGTGAGTATCACTGTGCCCCTGTTGGATTTAACTGCTCTTTGTAATCTCTTGCTTTTCTGAATTGGCACAATATCCACTCTGCCCTTATTTCTTTATTTTTCTTAATCACAAAAAAACCCAACCAAAAAAAAAACCAAACCAAAAAAACCCAACAAAAAATCTTTATGTTTGTTTTCTTGCTTTATGTTTGCAAGAACAGTGGGGAGGAAATCTTTATGGCATTCCTCATATCCTGCCCTGGATATTTCTGATCAGCTGCTTATTGGGCTGTTTATTGAATTACAGTAGAGAAGTAGGGATTAAAAAAAAGGAGGGGGGAAAATAAAATTGAGAGCTTTTGCTCACACTGGTGTTTGTGGTTTATTTTGCAAATATTAGGAGATGTTTAACAGCCACTCCTGGCTGACAAAGGTGAGACAGACACAGGAAGACATATTTAGAACCACACAGAAGAGGTTTTCATATATTTTTAAAATTCAGACTGCTAATTTACATCAGGACCCTTTTGACAGCACAGGCTTAGTGGATTTCCTGTGTTCTGTGCATGTCTGTGCTCATCCTCACAGGCACACCTTGAGAGAGGAGAGGCACAGCTTGTCTGGCCTTGGGGCTCTTCCTGAGGTATTCCCAGCCTGGGGATGAGCTGGCTGAGTGTTCCCACTAATTGGAGCTAATTGCACGTCTTGCATTTGTTTTCCTGCCTCAGATTGGACATGAAGGAGAGGAAGAAAGTGATATTTTCACAATTCGGGAGGTCAGCTTCCAGCCCACTGGAGAAGCCGACTGGAAGGACACCAACTACACCCTCAACACGGATTCCCTTGACTGGGTAGGTGCTGCTAAAGGCCACAGAGGGCACTCAGCTGTCCCTCTGCTCCTGGGTGGGGAATTAAACCTGTCTGGATGTCTGAGACAGGGACTGCCCCTGCTCTGCCCCTGAGCTGGTGGTTCTGCTGCAGACAGAGGGTGTTTCCTGGGCCCAGGGTCGTGCACTACTGGTGGCATTACCAGGAATCAGGACAGACAGCTGGAACTTCTTCCTTTCCAGGTTTTATAGGCGGATTTCCCAGCCAGGAATCACACTCTGGAAATGCTTTGACACTTGTTTAACATCTTTTGATCTGTGTGTTTAACAATGTGGCTCATCAGACACCGTGCATAGATAAAGGCATCTGTGTATGATATCTGATAAAGTACATTGTGTCCTGGTTTCCCAGGTCTGTTACAGTTGTAACACTCAAAATATGCACAAGAATCTGTGTGTTCTTATGTTCTCAATGCCAGGATTTCAAAAGGTACAATTTTTAGTTTGAGGCTGTCATATATTTAAAACTGAAAGTAGAAGTCCTAGAGTGCGTCTATCCCCTTGAGATGCACTCATGGTAAACTTTCTTAGTGTGCTGATTATTCTTTCTTCCCTCATCTTAAGACATTAAATTAATTTAAAATGTGTATGAAAAGGAAAAAGCAATGTTCATGACAGTAACATTTAAGCCTTTCCAACAAACTTCTACATCAGATACCTTTCCAAAGTGCTAGTTCACCCCTGGGTAGAGAGGACAGGCAGAGTTTGCCTTGTGTCATCCTTGACAGACTTCTCCTGATGACTCCCACACTCTGAGGATCATCTCCAGGGTGTGCAGCTCCTTTGTGCTGTTTGGTTTAGGTTTTTATTACGTGTTCCATGGCCTTTTCCATTCAGATGTTCCACCCAAGGTCAGGCCTGCCCTTCTGTGGGAGCTGGGCCTTATTTTCCTGGGAGGAAGTGCCAGGTGACACCTTAATACACCCCCTACCCAAGTGTGTTCCACTAAGGAAATTTTCTGTTCCATGCTCCAGGCTCTCTACGATCACTTGATGGATTTCCTGGCTGACAGAGGAGTGGACAACACCTTTGCTGACGAGTTAATAGAGCTCAGCACTGCCCTGGAGCACCAGGAGTACATTAAATTCCTTGAAGACCTTAAAAGCTTTGTCAAATGTCAGTAGGTCAGGCTAGGAAACTTACCCTCAAGTGTGGGTAT